TGCGGCAGCAGAGTTGCCTGGGCATGATCGTCATCTGCACGAGCGTTGCCAACGCCCGCTGCCACCATAGCGGCTTCATACTTAGGCGCCTTTGGCAACATGTGGTGGGAATGATACGCCATGTCCACCCTCAGCTGTCGGCAGAAAGTCCCATTGGCCTTGCAACTTTCGACAACTTCCAGGATGGCGTCTTCGTCGCCGGATAACGTGCAACTGCTGGGTGAGTTCACGGCGGCCAGAGCTAGACGGCCGGGGTATGCCTTGAGGACGTCCTTGGCGGCATCTTCTCCGAGGCCTACGGCGCACATGCTGCCCTTGAGCTCGGGGGCGCTCTCCGTCTCTATTTGCTTTTCTGAAGCTCCGCTGCCGAGGTATAGGCCGCGGTAGTATGCGGCAATGACACAGTCACGCAAGGGCATGATGCCAGCGCAGTATGCCGCGCCTATCTCACCCGATGAGTGTCCCACAACGGCGACTGGCGAAACGCCCCAGGACCGCCACAATTCAACGAGACCAATCTGGAGGATGGCGCAAAGCGGCTGCGACAGGGCTGATTCGTACACACGCGATGTCTGCTTAGGCTTGCTCAGCTCCTCCATGGCGCTCCAGCTTGGCCCGTCATCGAGACTGTGCAAGACCTCGTCACTCTGCTTGACAATAGCCCGGAAGAGGGGAGATGCATCGATGAGTTGCTTCCCCATAGATGGCCTGCGTGTATAAGTCAATGTCAATTTTGTTCTGAGGTAGATGCAGACTTGTCAAGTTCCAAACGCGAGGTCAAACTACATACCATTGCGCGCCTTGGCCAGTGAAGATGAATGCCACCCTTTTCGGTTTGCCGGTGCTTTTTTCCTGCGGATTGACATCGTTTTCGGCGAGTTTTTGTGCGAGTTCGCAGGTGGAAGAAGCGGTCAGCATGATGGATCTCTTGTGCGTTGAACGCCGAGCCAGAAGCGTGTGAGCGAGGTCTATGGGCGTCGGGTCGTGCCGAGCAATGTAGTCGATAAGGCGTTTGGTGGCTTCGGTAAGGCTTGCATCATTATTCGCTGAGATCTTAAACAGAAAAGAGCGGTCATAGGATGGTGATGAAACGGCCTTCGCAACTCCATCCCTGTGGTCATAGTGTTCGAGTACAGCATGCCCGTTGGAGCCCCCAAAGCCGAAGCTGTTGATAGCAGCCCGTCGCACGCCATCTCGGGTCTTTGGCCAAGGCATCAGGCTTGTGGGCACCTCCAGGCGGGTGAAGTCAATCTTTGGGTTAGGTGTAGTAAAGTGCATCTGGGGCGGGATGAAGCCTCTTTCGAGCGCCTCAATCGTTTTGACGAGGCCAGCAAGGGCTGCCGCTGCCTCGAGGTGGCCGACGTTACTCTTGACTGAGCCGACAACGAGCTTTTGCGGGCGCTGGCTCTCATCAGAAGAAGCAGGACGCCCGTAGACCTCGTCTATGGCGGACACCTCCAATGGATCACCAGCCGCCGTGCCGGTACCGTGTGCCTCGAAGTACTGCACGTCCGCCGGGTCGAGACGGCTCTCAGCGTACAGCGCTTGCATATTGGCCCTCTGGGCCTCGGAGCTGGGGAGGGTCAATCCCTGGGTTCTACCGTCTTGGTTGACACGGGTGCCTCTGACGACGGCGCGGATTGGGTCGCCATCCCGAAGAGCCTTGTCCAGAGGCTTGAGGAGAAGGGCTAAGACGCCCTCAGCACGCACGTAGCCGTCTCCAGCGGCGTCAAAGGTGCGACACCGCCCCGTGGGACTGAGGAAGTCCATCTCGGACATGGCAACAAATATGTCTGGGTTCAGTATAAGATTGGACCCGTTAACAACAGCCATTTCGGCCTCGCCTGCATGCAGAGCAGCCACGGCGTGGTGTAGAGCGTACATGGTCGACGAGCATGCTGTATCAAGGACCAGACTCGGGCCGTGGAGATCGAAAAAGTAGCTGACACGGTTCGCAGCAATGGCGCTGCACGCACCGGTCGACATGTACTTCGGCGTCGCATCAACATCGCGAAACAGGCTGATGGCGTAGTCGTTCCACGTCATACCTAGAAGTGGAGAGAATTTTGATCAGCAGTTCTCCTCCTTGTTGATTCTGTGACCGCTCGAGTCAACCCACCTGTGTATACTGCCGTGTTGCTCCCGGTGAAGTTATCTAAGGGCAAGCCCGCGTTTTCCACGGCCTCGTAAGTCAGCTCAAGCCGCATCCGCTGCTGGGGATCCATGGCTTCTGCCTCGAGGGGCGGAATGGAGAAGAATAGGTTGTCAAATCGGCTGACATCTTCCTGCATAAAGTAACCCCGGTTGACGTTGGTGACGCCCTTTTTCTTGGATCCGTCTGGTCGATAAAA